AAGAGAATGGGTCCAAGTACAGATCCCTGAGGTACCCCACTGGTGACAAGCCCAAGCTTCGAATATACTCCATTGACTTCAACCCTCTGTTGCCTGTCACTCAGCCACTGCCTTACCCATTCAACAATATTAGAATCCAAACTTAAATATTGCAATTTATTGATAAGCATTATATGTGCAACAGTGTCAAAAGCCTTACTGAAATCTAGGTAAGTAATTTCTACTGCACCACCCTGATCTATTATTTTAGTTACCGAATCAAAAAAATCAGTAAGATTAGTTTGGCATGAGATCCCTGAAGTAAACCCATGTTGTCTCTGATCTTGAAATCCATGTGTTTTTAGATGTTCAACAATCCTATCTTTTAACATGGTTTCCATTACTTCCCCCACTATTGAAGTAAGGCTTACTGGTAGTAAGCGGACGGTGAACATATGCGCTGTTCGGTCCGCCCCCATGTCATCATTGAGTAAACTTTGACCCTGTACCTCACAGTCAGCAGACACATTCCAGCCAATCAGCAGCAGACCCTCCCTCTCAGACCCTCCCACCACCTGGACAGCATCCATTTTACATTCATTGTGAAGCTGCATTCTTAGTGAGCTGTCCAGGAGGTGGGAGGGTCTGGGAGGGATGTGTCTGCTGACTGTGAGGTACAGGGTCAAAGTTTACTCAATGATGATGAATAGGGGGCTGACCGAACAGCGCATATGTTCGCCATCCGTGGCGAACCGTTCGGGACATCACTACTTACTGGCCTTTAGTTGCCCGACTCCTCCCTACTACCTTTCTTGTGAATGGGCACAACATTCGCTAACTTCCAATCTTCTGGGACTATTCCTGTTAACAATGATTGGTTAAATAAATCTGTTAATGGTTTTGCTAGTACACAACTAAGCTCTTTTAATAACTTTCGGTGTATTCCATCAGGTCCCATTGACTTATTTGTCTTTACTTTTGACAGTTGAAATAGAACCTCTGCCTCTGTAAACTCACATGTAATAAATTACTAATTTGTCCTTTTTCCTGAGGTCCCTTTCCTTCATTTTCATCTGTAAATACTGAACAAAAATACTAATTGAGGCAGTCAGCTAGACCTTTATCATTTTCTACATACCTTCCTTCTTTTGTTTTTAATCTAACTAATCCTTGTTTTACTTCTCTTTTCTTATTTATGTATCTAAAAAATGTTTTGTCCCCTCCTTTTATTGACTGTACTATTTTCTCTTCTGTGTGTGATTTGGAAGCTCTTATAACTTGCTTAGCCTCTTTCTGTTTAATCTTATAGATCATTCTGTCTTCCTCACTCTGTTTTTTTTTTTTATATTTACTAAATGCTAACTTTTTGTTTTTTACTATTTTGGCCACATCTGCGGAGTACCACAGTGGTTTCTTGAATGTTTTGCTTTTACTGACAAGCCTAATGCAATTTTCTGTTGCCTTCAGCAGCGCAACTTTTAAATAATCATCTTTCTCTTGGACTCCATTTAAATTGCTCCAGTCTGATAATGACTCTTTTACACATATTCTAATTTTAGAAAAATCTGTTTTTTTAAAGTCTAAATCTTTTGTTTTTGTTTGGTGTGACTCAGTCACTGTTCTTATATTAAACCACACTGTCTGATGATCACTGGATCCTAAACTTTCACCTACAGTAATATCTGATACCAAATCTCCATTTGTTAACACTAAATCTAGTATGGCCTCTTTACGAGTTAGCTCCTCAATGACTTGTTTTAGAGACCATCCCAGTAGGGAGTTTAGAATATGTGTGCTCCTGGCACAAGCAGCTATTTTGGTTTTCCAATTCACATCAGGAAGATTAAAGTCACCCATGATAACTTACCCCTTGATTGTCATTTTAGCTATTTCCTCAACTAGTAGATTATCTAACTCTTCTATTTGTCCTGGGGGCCTCTAAATCACATCTACACGAGTTACTGTGTGATTACCAAATTCTAACATAACCCAAACGGACTCTATGTTCGCCTCACTAATTTTATTAGGCTAGATTTTATGCTATCTTTCACATACACGGCCACCCCTCCCCCTTCCTTACCTTCCCTGTCTTTTCTATATAAAGAGTACCCTGGTATTGCTATGGCCCAGTCATTTTTCTCATTATACCATGTCTCAGTAACAGCGATTAAATCTACATTATCAGTTGCCATTATTGCCACAAGTTCATGGATCTTATTCCCTAAACTGCGATCATTTGTAGACATGACTCTAAGCTTATCCTTTTTAACACACTTGCTACAGGCACCATTCACCAAGCCACAAGTTAAAGTCCCTAATACGCATCTACCTGTCGTTCTGAGTGGTATGCACAGGCAGAACTTTAGAGAATGACAGTGTGGAAGCAACCTGCCTTATATCATTGGCAAAAACACTAAAAACTTCCTTAACCTCTGAAACCTCATTGCAATCCAAGTCATTTGACTCTAGATGGACAAGTACATCCAATTCCCTTTCCTGCTTTGCTCGCTTAACAATATTACAAATACGTCTCCTGTCTCTGTGAGCTCGTGTGACCCATAGAGATGATAATTAACTTTTGTGGTCGCAGCTCTATTTAAGTACCAGATCAGTGGTGGGGAGAATGTGGGTATTTTGGGATGGGTCTATGTGTTGCGGGGGAAATTGTCAGTTTCTCAATAGGTGAGAGAAAGGAGGGAGGAGAGTAATTCCCTTTGGCAACTTTTTTTTTTTTTTTTACATTTATATTAAACCTCTCCTCCACTCCCTTGCTAATAACATAAACCAGATATAAATTGAGAGTTGTCAACATAACTGTGTCTGTATAGGCTTATAATTGCCTTTTACGGTATCGCATATCGATCAAGTCAGTAATAGATCCCACAGTTTTAGGGCTGGGTATAACAGCATGTATCTAGCGTATCAGTCTCTACTAAGAGAAGACCCACAAAGTGAAGGATATTGGTTTGGTTTGTGCATTTGCTCAGCAATTATTATTGACATGTTCAGCAGTCGCTGTAGGTAGGTGGCAGTTAGAGAATGAGATATACTTAACCTCAGCGGTACTTGGCTTTGAATGTTATGGAACTGTTTTCGGCATGATGTGACCTTGCGTTTCCCGGACAACTTGGTCCGGGGTTTTAAACCACTTTGCAAACCACCAGGAGAGCAATTTTTGGAGAGAAAGTGCCTGAGACTAAGAGAATGCTCCCTGAGGGCCAGGCGGAGCACCACATATTTTGGATGCAGGAGCTCCCAAAAGTTGACCAGTAAAAGCACCAACCGCCCTTGAACTATTTTGGGCTAGGACCACGTGTATGGCCAGTCAGAAATTTGCCCCAGTGGCGTTTCCCTTACACTGCATGGATCTGAGAGCTATTTGGACAACTTGGGTGCTTAGATCAGGGCTCTTTTGGGGATGTATGACATGAGGGGTTATTATATGTTTTCACGTTTTGTGTTGGGCTCGCTGTTCCGAGGAGATAATTAGATTACCCGTCTTTAACTCAATTTTCTCCCAGACCTAGAGAATCCTGGGGGAGGACTTGTATTGTATTGTTTGAAGACCTTCTGCTGGGGCCTGTGCATAAAAGGCTGAGTTTGGCCCAATAAAATCAGTTGTACTCAAAGAACTATGTGTCATCCAGTTACTGGGAGGGGAAAGGGTTAATCACTGCCCAGCACCTTGTTCCATCTCGTGGAGGATTTGGCGGGATGAGTCCTTTAACCCCTTAAGGACACATGACATGTGTGACATGTCATGATTCCCTTTTATTCCAGAAGTTTGGTCCTTAAGGGGTTAAAGGACTAGAGCTCTCAGGACTGTGTGTTGTCTGGTCCCTGGGAGGAAATAGAGCTAGTCCCCTATCCTGTTCCAGAACGGAGAGGCTCCAGGAGAACCCCAGTCAAGCCACAGCGACTGGGGCAGAGGTTCCAGCTAGGAAGCGATCTTGGCGGAGGTACCCAACTGAAGCTACACTTTTCCTGTTTTGGAAGCCCCTGCATTGTGTAGCTTTAGAGCGTTGCCATAGTAACCCAGCCAGGGCTTGCGAAAAATATCAGAAAACATTAGAAACTCGTCTCCCTTTATTTGAAAGAGCACTTACTAAGCATGGTGTTTGGTGAATGAAGTGTGTTTTTAGATATCTACCTTCTACCTAGCAATTAAGGGACACAAAGACTCCAGATGGGCGGACCTGATACATTTTGATTAGAGTTGAACGGACACCTGGATGTCCAGCGGGATCGAACAAACTTTGAAAAAAAGTCCGGGTTTGGGATTGAACTTGACCCCGAACCCCATTGAAGTCAATGGGGACCCGAACTTTTGGCCACAAAAATGCCTCTAAAAAAACTCCTGGAAAGGGCTAGAGAACTGCAAAAGGATGTAGGACAAGTGCCCTGCAAACAAATGTGGATAGGGAAATCACTTAAAAATTAAAAATACAGCTGAGCCATAAAATAGCACTAGATGGAATCTTTGATTTTAGCTTTGGAAGAACATAAAGCAAAATCTAAAGCATGGCTGTCAGGAGGATCACCAGAATTATACATTTGAGAGAGGTTTGGAGTGCAGGGTATTCTCTTTCATTGTTCAAACTGAGCTCAACTTCTGATGCACGGAGAAAATGCCTTCACAAGCCTCTGCTATTGTGTACATAATTTATACTAAGTGACCCTTAGGTTGAGGAGGCAGTGACCGTGGCGGTGGAGGAGGAGGATGAGGTAGTCAACACTGTATTTTATGTTTGTTTTTTTTTACTTGTGGTAGCCCACAAACTATTGGGACATACAAATATAGAAACATGTGCGGCCTGCGGTGCATTTCTTGCAGGCCTGATGCATGGAAAAATGCTCAACTCCTGATGCATGGAGAAAAGGCCTTCACAAGCCTCTGCTAATGTGTACCTAGTTTATACTAAGTGACCCATAGGTTGAGGAGGTGGTGACCGTGGCAGTAGAGGAGGAGTATGGGGTAGCCAACATTGTTTCTTTACATATATATATTACATACATATATATATTTTAATTCTGGTAGCCCCCAAAATATTGGGACATATAAAAAGAGACAACTCTGTTCCGCAGAGTAGCTGTTGACATTATAGTTGCGCAGGAACTTTGTTGACTCTAGAGAACCTCAGGCAAATCGCAGATCCCGTGGCGGTGACTTTGCATGCGGATGTCTTCCATATCAACTTTCGATGCCAGTTTCTGCGCCCACCATGGTGACCATGGGTAACGGGGAATCAGGTCTTCCATTCCGTACAGGGACCCTGAGAAATGGCTACCACATGCAAAGAAGGCAGCAGGCGCGCAAATGACCCACTCCCGACGCGGGAAGGTAGTGACGACAAATAACAATACAGGACTCTTTAGAGGCCCTGTAATTGTAATGAGTCCACTTGAAATCCTTTAACTCTGATCAATTGGAGGGAAGTCTGGTGCAGAGCCACTGACCCGTGCATGCTGCAGCTGAAATTCCACTATCGCCTGCTGCTGCTCGCAAAGTCTCATGAGGCCGTGAGCGGGAAGGCCGAAGTTACGCTGCAGCACAGACAGGTGAGCAGCAGCAGGGTGACAATGCCAAAAGCGCGCACAGCCGCTACAGTGAATGTCACATCCTGACAGTGTCTGGGTCCTGGTCACTGGACTGCCCACCTCACTGTGAAACTACGAATGGATCGTTAAATCTGGCATGAAGCCGAACTTTGCAGTTCGGGTTTGCTCAAGTCTATTATGGATCCTTTGATTGCTACATGTATTACTTGGATAACTGGTAATTCTCAAGCTAATATATGCCAACGAGCGCTAGGGGACGGCCGCTCCGCTTTTGCACCCTGCTCCCTCTTATGCTGTGCTGGTGCCTCTGTGCCACAGCGCCTCTTCCTCCAAACTGCACACGTCACTCCCATGACCTTGATTCCATGTGGGGTCTAGGACCTCATCATCCTCCACATCATCTTCCACCCACTCCTCAACCCTGCCCTCCTTGCAAGTATGCATGCTGCGGAAAGCCACAGCAGTTGGCACATGTGTTTTTCCAGCATGTAAAGTCTGCAAAGGACATATGGAAATTGTTTTAGAATTTCCTCCAGGCAACAGTTTTCCCTATAAACTGACCTCTCAGTTTGACTGGTGAGGGTATTGCCCCAGAATTACAATATTGTTGAAGTACCTCTTAGCTATTGATCACTGGTTTAAATATAGCAGCTTGTTATCTGGTAGTTTCTAGTGTAGAAAATATCAGTCTGTTTTCTATCACTTAGATCTGTGTAACAAGTGTTGTAGGTGTGAAACAATATTACAAGTGACCGATGTAGTAAAATCGAATCAAAGTTACGCTTCGATTTTACTCTCAGATATGAAGTGAACACCCCAAATATACTATTAAGCACCAAAAAAAATTTGACTTTGTAAAACTCCAATGTAATCAGCAGATTAGCAACAAAACAATTAGAATGTTTACAAGTGCGCAGTAAGCGCAGTATTAGACTCTTCGATTTGACTCTCAGATATGAAGAGCAGGTACAAAAATGTACTATTTAGCAGTTTAGCAGCAAAATAATTAGAATGTTTACAATTGCGCTGTAACCGCAGTATTAGAAGCTTCTATTTGACTCTAAGATATGAAGTGCACGCCCCAAAATGTACTATTCAGCAGATTAGCAGCAAAACAATTAGAATGTTTACAAGTACGCAGAAAGCACACTATTAGACGCTTCGATTTGACTCAGATATGACGTGAACCCCACTAAAATACTACTTAGCAGTTTAGGACCCCCCAAAATTTGTGTGACAGCTGTATTTGACGATGTACTACGCCACTAATGAAACTAACTGGATAAAGCCAAACAAGGTACACTAGGAGCATGGGGGTAACCCTTAGTAGAAATGAACAAGAAACTAGAGAGTAGTGTACCAAGAAAGTATTGGGAGGAAGCAACTTGTGCCTGTGCTACATAATGACCAAAAACTATATAAGAGTCAGAAGCACGAGTTAAAAAGACCAAAGGTCAAAAAACAAAAAATAGTTTATTAGATTCTAAATAATATAAAAAAATGGCAAAAACCACGGGGGCGTTATCATTGTATGTTCGGGTTGGAGTTCGGTGTTCGGTGATTTAATGGCGCGTTTTCAAAGGCTGCAGGGCAGCCAATCAACAAGTGTTTGACTCGTGTGCCCTTAGAAGCCAATAGGTACAAACCCGAATTCAGTTCGGGTTCGCTCAACTCTAATTTTGATCAATTATGCTAGTCCTTACCTCCTATTACCCACCTACATACCCTTTAAAATAGCTGCCAAATAAAGGTTGGCAGAGTCATGCTTTAATATGTCTCTAACGAAGCTAATGTCAAAGCAGCAAAACATTCCTCTGACCATGATTATGTTTTTTTTTTTGTGTGAATATTATTCGTTGTTCAATTTTTGGGGAAACAGTGAGACTTGCAGGTCTCCAAGGTGAAGTACTTTCAAGAGAAGAGATTGAAGAAAATGTTATGATCCGTTCGGGCTCGCAGGCCCACAATGCTGACGGACTCGCAGGTCCCTTGTTTCGGGTTTTATGCACATCTTATAATATATGTAATTGTACGTGTTATTTTAGTGGGTTGGGGTAGGTGTGCAGCGTGGGTCGTTGGAGGAGGGTAGTCATGGGGGGGTCTGGGTGGGTCAGCTGTCTGTCGTCCTCTGCCGTCTGGAGTGTGGATTCTGTGTCTTATCTGTCTGCGTTGTGGTGTCCGTCGGTTCTGAGTCCCAGTTGGAATCCTTCTATTGCTGTCTCAAGGATCCAGTACGTCCATATGTCCATGTAAGTCGTGGGGATGGTATTGGCCGTCATAGTCAGTTCCTCTTTTTTTCTAAGATCCTCCATTTGGCTAAACCAGGTTGTGAGCGAAGGTGTTACGCTTTGTTTCCAGAATTGGGGGAGTACTTGTTTGGCTACATTAAGTATTCTGATGGTCATGGATTTTTTGTACTTAGAGTGGGGAACAGATGTGTGATGTAGGAGCATTGCTGCTGGTTCCAGGGGGGTGGTGCGTGTGTGAATTTCTCTAGAATTTTTTGTATCCCCTCCCAGTATGGTTTTATCATTTCACAATCCCACCAGATGTGTTTTATGGTGCCTTCCACCCGTTCGCATCTCCAGTATAGTCTGTAATGGTCTGGGTCTTTTTGGTGGAGGAGGTGTGGTGTCCTATACCATTGCGTTAGTAGTTTGTAGGCTGTTTCTTGTGTTTTACTATGTGTTGAGCAATGGTGTGTGAGGTAACATATGGATTCCCACTCTGCGTCTGTGAGTGTGTTGCTTAGGGCAGCCTCCCATTTTCCCATCAAGAGGGGTGTCTCGGATGGGGTTTCTGTTTGCGCATGGAGTATAGGAAGGATACTCCATGCGGGAGTGGGTCCGGGTGTGCGCAGACTGCCTCCAGTATAGTCCGGTCTCTGGTGAGTGCTGATCCCTGTGGCAGTGCGAGGACGAAGTTGGTCAGTTGGGCGTATCTAAAGTGGTGCATGAAGGTCGGGGGGGGGTCTCTCCCATCATATCTGTTAGATTTTACATTTCCCTCCCTGAAGGATGTGGTGTAGGCTTGGTGATGTGGCTGGGAGGATGTCTTTGAGAGCCCTTGGGTCTAGTCCCGGTGGGAAGTCATCATTGTGTGTCAGTGGTAGGAGGGGAGAGGGGTACGGTGATGTGTTCCCGTTCCTCAAAGCCCTGCTCCACACTCTCAGGGTATGCTTTGTGTATATGGAAATTTCACCCCTATCGGTCATGTCTCGACCCCAGGGAAGTCCAGAGAGCGGCCTGCCCGCCTCTGTCTCCTCCACCGTCTTCCAGAGTTTGTGCACTTTGTCCTTCGATCACTCCATCACTCTCTGTAGGTGCGTAGCCACGTAGTACAGGTGGAAGTCTGGGGGGGCTAGTCCCCCCTTGTCCTTGGGTCGCATCAGTGTGGAGAGTTTCATCCTGGGTCTCCCCCCATTCCATACGTATCTAGTCATTTCTGTTCTGAGGGAGTTAAAAAAGGCCCCCGGAATCACGATGGGGTTGACTTGAAGAAGGTATAGGAGGCATTGGAGGAAATTCATTTTTATGACTTTAACTCTCCCCAGTCACGATATATGTGGGAATGACCATTCCCTCATGTCTCTTTGGAACGTTTGTAGTGTATCTGTGAAATTTTCTTTAAACAGGTCCCCACTCTGCCTGGTCAGCCAAATTCCCAGGTATCTAATTTTGTGTTCGGCCCATTGGAAGGGGAAGCTGTGTCGCAGGGGGTCCGCACTTGCGGTTGGTATACTAACGTTGAGGATGTATGATTTACCGTAGGGAGGGAGATTTCGGGGTTGGTAACCACAAAGAAGGTCATCCGCATATGCGGCGACCTTGTGGTTTACATTGCCCGTTGCCAGACCGGTTATGTCATTGTTGTGTTAGATATGCGTGAGGAATGGCTCCAGAGTGAGGACGAACAGGTGTGGGAGAGGGAGCACCCCTGTCTCGTGCCGTTGTGTATGGAAGAGGCGTCAGTTAGCGCCCCATTGACCAGCACCTGGGCCGTCGGTTCCCGATATAGCGCCTCTATCCATTTACTTAGGTGGGGTTCCAGCCTCACGTGAGCTGGCGTTTCAAAGAGGTATACCCAGCACACTCTGTCAAAGGCCTTCTCTGCATCCGTTCACAGCAGAAGAAGGCCCCCTTTAGTTCCCCTCCGTGCATGAGGGTGAGCGCCCTGATGGTGTTGTCCTGTGCCTCGTGTCCTGCCACAAATCCCACCTGGTCTGGGTGGACCAGTGATGGAATGTGCTTTGTAAGTCGCGTAGCCAGGACTTTAGCCAGTAGTTTAATGTCGCAGTTTATAAGCGAGATTGGCCTATAGTTCCCGCATTGTTCCCTGTCTTTACCTTCTTTGGGGATAACGGTGATGTGGGCTGTTAGGACTTGTTTGGGTATATGGCTCCCATCCCTTACCACGTTGAAGGCGTCCACCATAGGTGGGTATAGATCTTCGGTGTAGGTCTTATAGTATTTTGTCAGTAGGCCGCCTGGTCCTGGGCTTTTGCCTGGTTTGGTTTGTTTGATCGCTATTGCTAATTCCTCTATTGTGATGGGTTAGCGTAGCTACTTACGTGTCTAGAGTCGGTATCGGGTGTTTTGCTAAGTACTCCCGGACGGATTCGCGAAGGTGCGTTTTCGACCAATACGGCTTGCGATTGCGGGAGTGTATATAGCTCTGAGTAGTAAGTGCGCATTGTTCTCAAGATATCTTTCGGGAGACGGTGTAAGGTCCCTTGTTTGTCTCTAATCCTGTCAATATATGTTCGTTGTCTCTGTTTCTTCAGCATCGC